TGTGTTTAAACACAAAGGCATCAGTAACTGATGCTGCTCATCGATGAGGTCAAAGGTCATGTAGAGGTCATCATCCTGCAGAGAAATTATTCACATGTGAAACATTTAAAGTGTCTGTGACATGTCTGTCCATCGAACACAAAAAGTTAAAGAAAACACATTTTTATACAAGAAACCTTGCATAAAACGTGATTTTTACCCATTTGGTCACATAAACAGTATATTTTCCTCTGAATTGGATCAGGCAAAGTGAAACAGGAAGTGACATCAAAGAGGAACTATTTAAAAAAGAACTCTCTGGTCTTTGTTTGTTGAAACAATATTATTTGAAGTCTGACTCTTCATCTCTCTGATAGAGACTCAAAATAATCTGAAACATCAGATTCTTCTCTACAGTCTGTGTTAGCCRTTTTATCACTGCTCTCATCCCCTCTGACATCACTTCCTGTTACTTCACATGCAAATATCTCAAAAGTTCGTCTCAGTGGCGTGAAATTTAATTWTGCAACATGTTATTGATGTTATGTTTCCAATAATGCCTTAATGTTTATGTTAAAAATTTCATGTCACAGGCACTTTAAAACAGCTGACCGTCGTTACCCTGAAGGTCAGACCGTGCAGTGCTTAGAGAAATCAGCTCCAGTGTGAACATGTTCCTGACCGAACTGGGTCCAACAGAACCTGACTGCAGAGGGTTCTGCTGCTGCTGGATGCAGTGTCACACTTTGGTTCAGTTTGATCTGGTCCTGTCACAGCCTCCCTGTCCTCCTGTGTCCTCCCTGTCCTCCTGTGTCCTCCTGTGTCCTCCTGTGTCCTCCCTGTCCTCCTGTGTCCTCCCTGTCCTCCTGTGTCTTCCCTGTCCTCCTGTGTCTTCCCTGTCCTCCTGTGTCCTCCCTGTCCTCCTGTGTCCTCCTGTGTCCTCCTGTGTCCTCCTGTGTCTTCCCTGTCCTCCTGTGTCCTCCCTGTCCTCCTGTGTCCTCCCTGTCCTCCTGTGTCTTCCCTGTCCTCCTGTGTCTTCCCTGTCCTCCTGTGTCCTCCCTGTCCTCCTGTGTCCTCCTGTGTCCTCCCTGTCCTCCTGTGTCCTCCCTGTCCTCCTGTGTCTTCCCTGTCCTCCTGTCCTCCTCTGTCCTCCTGTGTCCTCCTGTGCCCTCCCTGTCCTCCCTGTGTCCTCCCTGTCTTCCTGTGTCCTCCCTGTCCTCCTGTGTCCTCCCTGTCTTCCTGTGTCCTCCCTGTCCTCCTGTGTCCTCCTGTGTCCTCCCTGTCCTCCTCTGTCCTCCTGTGTCCTCCTGTGCCCTCCCTGTCCTCCCTGTGTCCTCCCTGTCTTCCTGTGTCCTCCCTGTCTTCCTGTGTCCTCCCTGTCCTCCTGTGTCCTCCTGTGTCCTCCCTGTCCTCCCTGTCCTCCTGTGTCCTCCTGTGTCCTCCCTGTCTTCCTGTGTCCTCCCTGTCCTCCTGTGTCCTCCTGTGTCCTCCCTCTCCTCCCTGTCCTCCTGTGTCCTCCTGTGTCCTCCCTGTCTTCCTGTGTCCTCCCTGTCCTCCTGTGTCCTCCTGTGTCCTCCCTCTCCTCCCTGTCCTCCTGTGTCCTCCTGTGTCCTCCCTGTCTTCCTGTGTCCTCCCTGTCCTCCTGTGTCCTCCTGTGTCCTCCCTGTCCTCCCTGTCCTCCTGTGTCCTCCTGTGTCCTCCCTGTCTTCCTGTGTCCTCCCTGTCCTCCTGTGTCCTCCTGTGTCCTCCCTGTCCTCCCTGTCCTCCTGTGTCCTCCTGTGTCCTCCCTGTCTTCCTGTGTCCTCCCTGTCCTCCTGTGTCCTCCTGTGTCCTCCCTGTCCTCCCTCTCCTCCCTGTCCTCCTGTGTCCTCCTGTGTCCTCCTGTGTCCTCCTGTGTCCTCCCTGTCCTCCCTGTCCTCCTGTGTCCTCCTGTGTCCTCCCTGTCTTCCTGTGTCCTCCCTGTCCTCCTGTGT